CATGTAAATATTTGAACATAGACTTTACAAATTACAGTAATCCAAATAACTTAGACCATCCGCATTCGTCATATTTTGTGAATGTCTTTAAATAAACAAATAGTAAAAACACACTCTCTCTTCCTTTTACTCAATTTTATACCTTCTCTTTCATTCTTTTACTCAACTTTTATTAATTTTATATTTAAACACACCCATATTCTCTCTCCAAAAGTCACTATTTATGTCTTCCTAAAGACACAATCTCTCCAACAATATCCACTATCTCCTCTCTTTACTCAAATTTTATTAATTTTATATTTCAATACACCCCATTATTTCAACAAAAAACACTCTCTTTCTTCCTTTTACTCAAATTTTAATAATTTTATATTTAAAGACATCCACATTTGTCTCCAATGCGGATACTCTTACAAATAGGGTAAAAAAAAAAAAAAGGTCACAAGATCTTTAAACTCCGTAAGTATGCTTAAAACATATTAGAGCATCTAGTAAGAGAGAATAAGTGGAAAATCACTTGAATATGCTGTACCGATCGGACTTAGTTCAAAACAGGTTTTATATATCAGAAAACTCTTCAATTCAAAAGAAAAAGATCTGATTTTCATCACACTTAGTTTGTAGTTGATCTAATGACGACATCCTCCACTGCCCGACCCCGCAATAAACAGTAAGAAAATAAATAAATATATTTATATATGTGTGTAACTAACAATAATTTATAATACTCATACATGTATATTTTTGATACTATTTGTCCTGCTTCTACGGGACTGTTTCCATTCAGAACCTCAAATCTTTTTTCTGAGTCATTTTTTTATAAATTAAACCCTTCTTCACACAAAAATAAAATAAAATAAAATAATAATCTGATGTTCAACACATTGTAGTTGACTCAATATATCTTCTCACCTACACTAAATACATATAGCGATATAAAATGATTCGTTCAAACTTGAGTGACTAACTTTTATTCGTCGTGAAACAATGAAAGGCCCAATATAATTTTCGGCCTAAATATAAATGGGCCTTACTTATGGGCCCAATACGACGTTTTTAAGCAATGGGCTAGGGTTTTTATTGGTTCTCTCTTCCTTCTTTGACATTTCTACATCAGTATTAAAGCAAATCAACCACACTCTAGGGTTTTTATTAGCGGCGCCACAGGGGAGAGAGACGAAGGAGACGGATCTAGAAGCGAAGCGAAGAAACAACAATGGTGAAATTCTTGAAGCAGAACAAGGCCGTGATCCTCCTTCAAGGTCGATACGCCGGCAAAAAAGCGGTGATAATCCGTTCCTTCGACGACGGAAACCGTGAACGTCCTTACGGACACTGCCTCGTCGCCGGGATCAAGAAATACCCGAGCAAAGTCATCCGCAAAGACTCTGCGAAGAAGACGGCGAAGAAATCTAGGGTTAAGTGTTTCGTCAAGCTCGTTAACTACCAGCATCTGATGCCTACTCGTTACACGCTCGATGTGGATCTCAAGGAAGTCGCGACTCTCGATGCTCTTCAGTCTAAGGATAAGAAGGTTGCTGCTCTTAAGGAAGCTAAGGCTAAGCTTGAGGAACGTTTCAAGACTGGGAAGAACAGATGGTTCTTCACTAAGCTCAGGTTCTGAAGAAAAAAAAATGGATGTTTTTTTGAGCTTTTTGTTTGCTTTTATTATGTTATCGAATTGTAGTTTTCTAGGGTTCCTCATCCTGTGGTGAAAAATGTGGAATCTGTTTTGGAATTGTGGAAGACCTTTTGTTGAAATTTCGGTTATGGATTTTGATTCTCTATTTGAATTTTGGATTACGCTTGAATTATCTATCTGCATTAGGTTTGCGAAAAGTTGATTTTGTTTAGATTCTGAGATTTCTAGTGCAAGAAGCGTTTTCATTTTCTCGATATTCATAATCTTGGAAAATTGAAATGTGTTCTTTTTGTCATCATCACGGTTTTGAATTAGAAAATATTCAATCCCTCAATGTATATTTTGACTGTTTAAAGCTTAATTAATCGTAGGTTTAACAGAATAAGCATATTACATATGCTAATCCTGGCAATAATCTCGTGATTACGGTATTATTTGATTGTTAATGTAACAGATGCACAACATTTATAGTTGAGGCATAAACACAGATGTTTCTCCTTTAAACGAATTCTACAAACAAAACAAAAAAACAAATTCTGAGGTAATGGTATTCTGATACATCCAAGACAAATCCGTAGGGTTGTGTGATTTCTGTGTGTTCACTTGGAAACCAATAAATTGACTGCCAAGTAATAGCTTCCAACTATAACCGTCGATGCAACAGAGCTTCGAGCCATTCTTATCCCGATTCCACGGAACAAGAGCTTTCTGTCTGTAGGATGGATTCCTGTCCATCTCTCTAATCTTTTGCCCGGTCTATTCCATCTCAGAAACTTCCTCTCCTTTGCTGTATACTATCCAAAATCCAACAGAAAGTAAAATGAGAAAATAGCTTTGAGTTTTATGTCTCTTTGTAAGATAATGTGAAAGCCCATGGATTGGATTTTGTTTTTGTTTTTACCTTTGGTAGTATTACACACTGTGCACGTGTTCTCGCTGTGTCGAAGCTGTGAGAAGCTGCAGCGGCTATGGCACCCGAAAACCCTGCGGCAATGCTAATGGCTATCGGGGATAACGGCCCAACTTCTTCTTCAGTACTGAAATTCAACAAGTTTTGCAGATTCATTAAACAATCGTCACACATTTTGATTAAATTTTAAAGTTTGTTGATTGAGAGTTAAGTACCTGGGCAGAGGATTCATCCCGACAGCTTTCCAACCGAGCATTGCTTCATGAAGAAACTGCCATGTCGAGAAGAACACACCTCCGTAAAGACAATCTCTTACAAGACCCGAACGTAGATTTCTCCATAAAGCTCTCCATCCTTCAAGTGATGCGACATCGAGAGGTCTCTTAACATCCATGGCTGTTGGTGGATTCCCTGTTCCAGTCATCATCCATGGGTACTCTTGCAAGGCGGCTGTCATGTTTGGGTGTTTATGATTTAAGACGGATAAGAGACTGACTGTTTGCGTCAATGACTTTACGTCAAGAGTGTATCTTCTTAGCAATTTCGTGATCATGGGTGAAACTGCTGCAGTTTCTGCAACAGAGGCAACATTTGGAGCCCGTGACGCAGCAGTCACTTGTTTTCGGACTTTGATTAGTTCAAATGGTGAAGTCATCACTGTTTCTGCTGCACCTCCCACCATTCCAGCCAGAAAAGCCTCACTGACTTGCACATAGTTATCATGTCGACCATCTGAAACAAAAGAAAGTCATATAGGAAGTATCTCCAAGACAAAGGTTTCTTCACTTAACTTTCTCGCAAAAACGGATAAATTCATCTACAGAATTCATTGTCCGAAGAATGAAAGGAACCAACTTTGAGTGTAAACAAGATAAAGCAATGGATAATACATGAATGGATTTAAGTACTGCTACATATTCTAACATAATCTATCAACAATGGCAATATTCATTAAACAGATTTCATTCTTATCAAATTAACTGATGTTCTTGGTCTGTTGAATCATCGACATTAAACACAAAAGGAGAGACATGGATCTTTGCGTAATACCTTTGTAGAAAGCTGTTAGAATCTCATAGACTCCAAACCTTGCACCAACACCTGAAATTCTTCCCAAAGTTAACCATCCAAGACCACTGTACAGACCTGTATTCATGTCAAAAACACAAACATTCAACATTAGATCATTTTCCCAGATGCATAATCAAAAAAATGATTGAACTCTAGAGAGTAATTTGCAAACCTGAATAGCCAGAGAAGCGGAGAACTCTGTTCACAACTTGAAAGGGGCTTAATTTCTTACTGGGTCCTGAACCAACCTACATTTTCAATGCCGAAATCAATCCCTACAGAATCGAAGTGATAAAAAACAGAAGAAAATTTGGTTGATGAAGAAGAAAGAAGAAGAAACCTGGATTATGGTTTTAATGGTATCCAGAGGATAAGCAATAGCAGTTCCTAATGAGACAGAGGCCGATGCAGCAATGGCATGCGTCGCGAAATGATGATTTTCAAGAAGCTTATCCATCTCAAGGCGTTCGATCCTAGAGACAAAACACGAGAGATGGCTTTATATGGAAGTCGTCGTCCAACTGTTCGACGAAATGCCCCAGAGAAATCCAATATTCAGATATATCATACCTCAGATGCTCTTTCAGACAAGAAGACTTTTCTATCTCACAGAAACTTCTTGGGATATAAAAAAAAAAAAAAACAGAAATTTATATTCAATCTCAGTGTCTGTCGCACATTGAAGCAACCAGATCAGAGACTGAGAAAGGACGAATACAATTCGAAAGTCGAAGAAGGAGAAGTAAAACGACGTCGTTTAATCAGCAGGAAAATGCCCTAAAACCAAACGACGTCGTTTTTCATAATTAAGGGATAAAGAAAAAAACGGAAAAAACAAATTTTACCAAAATAAAGCTTTTTTGGGTTGATGAGAGAATTTGCCGATTTATAGGCAAATAAACCAGAAAATCTGCCCAACATTATTCTTCTTCAAACCCTAAACGGGTTGGGTCAATTTTTACCCGACATTGCATACCTCCGATTCTCTCCGCCGTTTCTCCGGAATCTTCATCTCCGACTTATTCCAGCTTTTTATTCGCCGGAACCGAAGCTAGTAGACCGGAATTTTGTCTGTTTTCGCGAAACCGATTCTCCGTAACCGGACACAACCTGCAAACCAGAACAAGGTTAATTTTTTTTCTTCGTCTTCTTGTACACAATTTATTTTGTTCTTCCAATTATCAAACGTGGAAATTGATCGGTTTAATTGTATAAATTTGGCCGAGATTTTGGTGCATGTGGTTTTAGAATTTTCTTTGCTTTGTGATTTTTTGTTTTTGAAGGGTTTGATCTATGTATTTGGTCTAATCTTCTGAAGAATCCGTTTGTTGTGCGAAATCTCAAATCTTTCTCAAATTTAGGGTTATGGGTTCGAGCTTTGTCATCTTCGTTACGTTTATTCTCATGAATTCAGCTATATCGCAATATAATTCATGGGTATTGTATAACCATTTATAAAGTCTCTGTCTTTTCTTCAAAATTCAGGCTTATTCGAGCAGAGAGTAAATGGATTCAGATTTAGAACCTGTGGCTCTTACACCTCAGAAACAAGACAATGCGTGGAAGCACTGTGAAATTTACAAGTACGGTGATCGGTTACAGATGAGGTGTCTCTACTGTCGGAAAATGTTCAAAGGCGGTGGTATAACTAGGGTTAAGGAACATCTTGCTGGTAAAAAGGGACAAGGCACGATCTGTGACCAAGTTCCTGAAGATGTTAGGCTTTTCTTGCAGCAGTGCATTGATGGAACCGTAAGACGTCAAAGGAAGAGACGCAGATCAAGTTTAGAGCCTTTGCCTGTAGGTTCTTTACCTCCTTGTGAAGGTGAAACGTTGATGGTTCAATCTGATGTGAATAACGGTTTTATATCGCCGGGTGATTCAGATGTGATTGTGCAAAACGAGAACCCGTCGGGTAGCAGAACGAAGCAGAGAACTTACAGGAGTAAAAAGAATGCTTTTGAGAATGGTAGTGCGAGCAACAATAATGACCTGATTGGAAGAGATATGGACAATTTGATTCCAGTGGCGATTAGTAGTGTGAAGAACATTGTGCACCCGTCCTTTAGAGATAGGGAGAATACAGTTCATTTGGCGGTCGGACGGTTTTTGTTTGGTATTGGAGCCAATTTTGACGCAGTGAATTCTGTTAATTTCCAACCGATGATCGATGCCATTGCCTCTGGAGGATTCGGGGTATCTGCTCCCACGCATGATGACCTACGAGGTTGGATACTGAAGAATTGTGTAGAGGAAATGACGAAAGAAATTGATGAATGCAAAGCGATGTGGAAGAGGACAGGCTGTTCCCTTTTGGTTGAGGAATTGAACTCTGATAAAGGCCTTAAAGTGCTTAACTTTTTGGTTTACTGCCCAGAGAAGGTAGTGTTTCTGAAATCCGTGGACGCATCTGAGGTGTTATCTTCTGCTGATAATTTGTTTGAGCTACTTAGCGAAGTGGTTAAAGAGATTGGTGCTACCCATGTTGTTCAAGTGATTACAAATTGCGAAGATCACTATGTCGCTGCTGGGAAAAAATTGATGCTGGCGTATCGTTCTCTATATTGGGTTCCCTGTGCTGCACATTGCATAGATAAGATACTCGAGGAGTTTGGGAATGTTGACTGGATAAGCAAAACTATCGAACAGGCTCAAGCTATCACAAGATTTATTTACAATCGTAGTGATGTTTTGAATCTTATGTGGAAATTTACTTCTGGCAATGAGATCCTGCAACCAGCATTTAGCACCTCTGCCACAAATTTTGCTACTTTGGGTAGATTTGCCGAACTCAAGCCCAATCTGCAGGCTATGGTTACTTCGCCAGAGTGGAATGAATGTTCACATTCGAAAGAACCAGGCGGATTTGCGATGAATGCTATCACTGATGAAGCATTTTGGAAGGCACTAGCTTTGGTAAACCTTTTAACAGGTCCTCTTTTACGGGTTTTGAGAATAGCGTGTTCTGAAAAGAGGCCTGGAATGGGGTACGTCTATGCTGCACTGTACCGAGCAAAGGAAGCAATCAAGACACAACTGGTTAATAGGGAGGATTACATAATATACTGGAATATTATAGACCGATGGTGGGAGCAACAGCAGCATGTTCCTTTGCATGCTGCTGGTTTCTTTCTTAACCCGAAATTCTTCTATAAAGCTGACGAGGAAATGCGTAGTGAGATTGTTCCAGCGGTGCTCGATTGCATCGAGAGGTTAGTTCCTGACAACAATATTCAAGATAAAATCAGTAAAGAGTTAAACTCATACAAAAATGCTGCTGGAGTTTTTGGAAGAAACTTGGCAATCAGAGCTCGGGACACAATACTTCCCGGTATGATTATTATTTCTTAATTGTCTTGTGTAAAGCTTTTTGCTTGTACTTCTATTGCTTGA